TCTCTTCTTCCCCATATCACCGCTCTCGAGAAGAAGCGACCCACCAAGTCAACCGACTCCAAGAAGAACCCAACTCAGGTTCTCCCCATTTCCTCTCTTGTTGAGACATGCACAGTCCGTCATGTTGAGCCTGATATTGGTCTGTTCGTCGATATTGGCATCCCTGGCTTGAGTGGCTTTGTCCACATTTCTCGGGTTAAGGATGGCAAGGTGGAAGCACTTTACGAAGCAAGCGGCCCTTACAAGGTTGGCTCAGAGCACAAGGGTCGTGTTGTTGGCTACAATGAAATGGATGGCCTTTTCCAAATATCGTTTGAGAAGTCCGTGCTTGAGCAGCAATATCTCAGACTCGAAGATGTTCCCATTGGTGCTGTTGTAACATGCAATATTGAGAAGGTCCTTATTGATGAGAAGGGTGTCAGCGGCCTCGTCGTCAAGGTTGCTGAGGGAATCACTGGTTTCGTTCCCGAACAGCATTTTTCCGATGTTAAATTGCAACACCCTGAGAAGAAGTTCCGACAGGGCATGAAGGTCAAGGCTCGAGTTCTCTCAACCAACCTATCCAAGAAGCAGATGCGCCTTACCTTGAAGAAGACTCTCGTCAACTCGGAAGCTCCAGTTATCAAGGCTTACGAAGAGGCCAGTGTTGGTATGCAAATTCCTGGTACCATAATCAAGATCCAGTCTTCTGGCGCTATCATCCAATTCTTTGGAGCTGTCCAAGGATTCCTGCCAATCTCAGAGATGAGTGAAGCCTATATCAAGGATCCTAAGGAGCATTTCCGAACTGGCCAGGTTGTCAGCGTACATGTCCTCGATGTCGAGCCTGAGTCTAAGAGACTCGTCGTGTCTTGCAAGGACCCTTCTGCTTTTGGCCTGGATAAGCAGAATGCTCTCAAGAAGCTCCAGCTCGGCGACATTGTCTCTGCCAAGGTCACACAAAAGACTGAAGATCAGGTTTTCGTTGAGTTGGCCGACGCTCAGCTCAAGGCTATCCTCCCTGTTGGACACCTCACCGACAAGTCAGCATCCAAGAACCAATATGCTCTCAAACGTATCGCTGTTGGCCAGACCCTTTCCGACTTGGTGATCATCGAGAAGAATGAGAACCGACGTGCTGTCATTCTTAGTCACAAGCCCAGCCTTGTCAGTGCTGGAAAGGACAAGTCTTTGATTACCAGCTTTGAGGATGCTAGGGAAGGCAAGATTGTTGCTGGGTTTGTCAGGAACATTACCGTTACAGCCGTGTTCGTTCAGTTTGGCGGGGGCGTGAACGCCCTTCTTCCCAAGGCTCGTCTTGCTGCAGACATTCAGGAGCTTCCTGACTTTGGCATGCACAAGCACCAGTCAATTGAGGTCAAGATTGTCTCCGTTATTCCCGATCACAAGCGTATCGTGGTGGCCCCCGCTGACTTCGACGAGTCTGCCGAGTCGGATAAGAAGGGCAAGGCCAGCGATAAGCCTGCTGCTTCAGATAATATTGAGTTTGGAACTGTGACTAAAGCTAAGATTACATCCATCAAGGATACACAACTCAATGTTCAGCTCGTCGACAGCAAGGTTCAGGGCCGAATTGATGTCTCTCAAATTTTCGACAAGTGGGAGGATATCCCCGATCCCAAGGACCCTCTGGACAAGTACCACAAGAAGCAGACCGTCTCTGTGCGCGTGATGGGAGTCCACAGCGCCAAAGACCACCGGTTTTTACCATTCTCTCACCGATCTCTCCACTCTGTGATCGAACTTACTGCAAAGCCTAGCGACCTCGAGGCCAAGACTCTGGAGCCCCTTTCTCTCGAGAACCTCAAGGTCGGTGACACCTATGTCGCTTTCGTCAACAACTCCAGCCCCCAACATCTCTGGGTCAACCTTTCTCCTTCAGTCCGTGGTAGAATCTCTGCCATGGAAGCCTCAGATGACCTTTCTCAACTCAACGACCTCGAGGCAAACTTCCCTGTGGGCTCAGCCTTGAAGGTGAGAGTAACTGGCGTCGATGCTCGCAACAAGCGCCTGGACCTCTCTGCTCGCTCTTCCAGCTCTTCTGAGACTGTTACTTGGAGTGCTCTCAAGCAAAACATGGTTCTTCCTGGACGAGTCACAAAGGTCAACGAGCGCCAGGTCCTCGTCAAGCTAAGCGAGCTTGTTTCAGGGCCCGTTTACCTCCCTGACATGGTCGATGACTTTGACAATGTCAACACTCTGAAGCAAAAGAAGGGCGACATTGTTCGCGTTTCTATCGTGGAACTTGACGCAAGCAACAAGAGACTTCGACTGTCAACTCGTCCTTCTCGTATTATGAGCTCTACACTCCCGGTAAAGGATAAAGAGATCAGCGATGTTTCTCAATTGGATGCTGGTGATATTGTCCGAGGCTTTGTCAAGAATGTCTCAGACAAGGGACTTTTCGTTCTGCTTGGTGGGCAGGTCACTGCTCTGGTTAAGATTTCCAACTTGTCGGATCGTTATCTGAAGGAGTGGAAGGATCATTTCCAAATTGACCAGCTTGTCAAGGGCCGAGTCATTGCTGTTGACAAACAGACTCGCCACGTGGAGTTGAGCTTGAAGTCTTCTGTCGTTGACGAGGACTACACCCCTCCCATTACCTACAACGATATCAAGGAAGGTCAGGTTGTGACCGGAAAGGTGCGAAAGGTTGAGGAGTTTGGTGCTTTCATCCTGATCGACAACTCCGATAATGTCAGTGGTCTCTGCCATCGCAGTCAGATGGCCGAGAACCCTGTCAAGGACGCCACCAAGCTCTACAAGGAGGGCGATGCTGTCAAGGCTCGTGTTCTGGAAGTTGACATCAACAAGCGACGAGTCACCTTCGGACTTAAGCCTTCACTTTTCGAGAATGCTGATACTGATATGGATGACTCTGATGCCGGCGTTGAGCTCGACGATGACGATAGTGATGACGATGTGGACATGGATGATGCTGGTGCGCTCCTCAAGATCCTAGGTACAGATAATGCGGGAGACTCAGACGGGGATGAAGATGACGAAGACGACGAGGATGAAGACGAGGATGATGAGGAGGATGATGAAGAGGACGATGAGGAAGAGGACGATGATGAGGATGTGGAAATGGAAGATCAACCAGCCAAGAAGAAGTCCAAGGGTCTCGGAGCAGGAAAGAAGTCTGAGTGGTCTGCCGACCCCTTCGATGAGCCAGAGTCAGAGTCAGAGGAGCAATCAAAGGATAATGAGAAGACAAAGAAGAAGAGGCGGAACAGGGACGAGATCCAGGTCGATCGAACTGCTGAGCTGGATGCCAATGGCCCCCAGACCTCTAGCGATTACGAGCGATTACTGCTTGGACAGCCCGACTCGTCAGAGCTATGGATTGCCTACATGGCTTTCCAAATGCAAGTCTCCGAGCTTTCCAAGGCCCGTGAGGTTGCTGAACGAGCAATCAAGTCTATCAACATCCGTGAAGAGACCGAGAAGCTCAACGTTTGGGTTGCTTACCTCAACTTGGAGGTTGCCTACGGAACTAAGCAGACAGTGGAGGAGGTCTTCAAGCGGGCTTGTCAATACAACGACGCGCAAGAGGTCCATGAGCGACTGGCCAGTATCTACATCCAGTCTGAGAAGCTCAAGGTAAGCTACTCCATAATGCATCGCACAAGTCATCACGCGCTAACTACATAACAGGATGCCGACGCTTTGTTCGAAACAATGGTCAAGAAGTTCGGTGCCAAGTCTCCCAATGTCTGGCTCAACTATGCCCATTTCTTGCACGCCACCCGCAACGATCCTGACCGAGCTCGTGCTCTTCTACCCCGAGCCACTCAGCAACTCGGCGATCGTCACAGTCAGACCCTCGTGAGCCGCTTCGCCGCGCTAGAATTCCGATCTCCCAATGGCGAGCCCGAACGTGGTCGTACAATGTTTGCGACTCTCCTGGCTGCCTACCCGAAGAAGGGTGACCTCTGGAGTCAGCTTCTCGATCTCGAGATTGGCCTCTCTGACGCCGACCCCACTGCTATCCGTGACGTTTTCGACAGACGGACACGGGTTAAGGGCTTGAAGCCCAAGATGGCTGAGAAGTGGTTCAGACGCTGGGCTGACTGGGAGGAGAAGCTAGACCCCAAGGGCAAGGACAAGGTGATGGCTAAGGCGCAGGAGTGGGCTGTTGCTTTTAAGGCGAAGAAGGAGGCTGATGCTGCGGCTGCGGCTGAGGACGAAGAGATGGAGGAATAGAATACTCGCTCGTCTTTGTTTCAATAATTTGGGTACCATAGTATACTCCTGGCAGTCAAAAGTTAGTATTAACGATAGAATCATTTTCAGCACATATTGTCATCAACGATATGTTCCACGTAAAGAAGGTTCCAAGTGATAGAATCGATGTAATGTTACCTTGCGATATCACGAACAAACATCAGTCAAGCATTAACACGAGGTGATCTTCATGATTCGGGTATCGGCAAGTTATTGGTTGGGGGAATGACGAAGCTATATACTATGTACGGAGTACAGTATGTTTATTTATATATGTGCCGGCGGTATAGCAGCTCTTACCAATAACCTTGTATAAATGTCCAGGATTATATATAAAAAGTGGTACTTTGGTCCTTGTTTCGCCAGTAATTCCCCCTTGGAATATGCACCGGCACTTATACCCGCACTCTGCTCTGGGCATAAACAGATAGTGCGTCATCGTGAGCTGACATAGCGCAAGATGGAAGCGGTAACTAGATTGGCTTATAGAAGCCTCGATCAACTCATAATCACTAATTCTTGTTGAACACTCACTATTTCTCCACGTACAGCCCCCATTGAGCGGAGAATTAGCATGCACACCGTCGATCAGGCTCGTATCGACCTGTGCTAACCTCAAGTTTCAGATACAGTGCAGCAACGTTGCCTTGAAATTCAACGGTCAACGCCTCTTCCGTCAAAGAAGATTCTGGCGTAGCCACAGAGAATACATCAGCGGTTTTAGTGACAAGCGGTCAGATCGGCCCCCCGACAGATCCGGGGAAGTATCCAACTTGTTGAATTGCCGAGCTGAAGACCACATTTTGACTTTGGAGTTGGTAGTGATCGGCATTGGGAATTGGGGCGAGCTATGACGGATGCCATGCCATGAGCTGTAAATAGATCTTGGCCGTGGATATGCAGGGTTTTTGTTGTTTGTATCCATTCACATTGGACATGCATGAATAATATGATATTAGAGTTGAGAGCTGTTATATAAAGCATCACCGACTCTTCAGCTGAATCCTAATCCTTCCTGTTCTTCTATACTCAGCTCAACTCCATCCTAGAACCAACTATCTATACTCCCTAAACAACTTCACAACCGTCAACATGCGTTTCTCTACCGCCGCCGCTTCCACCGCTCTCCTCGCTCTCGCTGAGGCCCGCATCACCGGTATCAAAGTCCCCAAGGAGATCGCAGTCGGTGAGCCCTTCGAAGCCATCATCGTTCGTGAGAACTACATCCAGAGCGTCTTCGACTCCTCCATCGTCTTTGGCTATGCTCCTGAGTCTCAATACCCCGGCACTATCGGCCAAGTCGCCGACTCCTTCGCCCTCGGAAAGAGTATGTTCCCTAATCCTACCCCCCCTCTTCTCTTGAACTGGTTGCTAATACAACAAACAGAGGAGTCTAACAAGGTTGAGCCTCTGAAGAAGAAGCTCACTATCCCTGAGGGCGCCCCCAAGGGCAAGGGTCTCGTCACCGCTGCTCTGCTCAGCATCTACGGTGCTTCTGGAAGCCCTACCATCAGCGAGTACAATGTCACCGTCACTTTTGGCGACAAGACTAGCAAGGAGTATGCTAGCTCATCATGAGTTGTTAGAGTTTGATTACCTATCTATGTCAGGGGATGAAACCTTGACGTGGTGGTGTTGAATATGGAGACTGGATAGGGATCGTCTTGTGTAGACAAGTCAAATTTCACTGGTCTGCACATGAACCGTTTGTATCTTCTTAGCACATTTTGCATATTAGAACATAGACGTCACTTATGAAAATACTTGAGTACATGAATCTTGATGCCTTATCCTATATCATCTTCTGTGCTTGTCTTTTTGTACCAGCGATGTAACTCACTTATTCATCGATATTAGATGGCAGGAACATGAACAATTGTTTATATAGGCAAGTAGTCTAAATAGGGTATCACTCTATAGAAAAAGGACAAATTTGAATTAAACTCCCTAATGCTTGTGCCCAGGTTTCTTGGTCTGTATACCATTGGCGCTGCCCCATACACTGTCACTCACTTTGGCTGGGATCTTGCGTCCACGAAGACGTTGGTCAATCAACCACATACCAACAACAAACTCTGCACGTCCCAGAACGCCTCGTCCCTTACGGTCAACCAGGTCCCATACCTCGGCGAGCTCATCTGCTGGTAAACGGGAACGCTTCCAGATCTCTCGAACAACTGTGTTGAGCACATACTCCGAGGGGTCTCCGTTCATTGCATCGAGAGGCGCGTTGGGCAAGTCAAGTAACAACCCGCGATTTGAGGCCCAAACCGCTTCATATCGTTTCCGCTCACGGGGTGTTACTTCTTCTCTCCACTTCTTTCGCGAACCTTCGTGATGCGCGTGCTTTCCTTTGTGAAGCTTCAAGCCCTTCTTCTTGTGTCGATCTGTGTCCTCTTCCAGGAGCTTGGGCGGTTGCCGTAAAGTCTGCATCATACGAGGTGATTTCTGCCTTCGAGGCAATGGAGGTGCTAGACTGCCTCCCGTGTTGTGTGGTGTAAGACGAGCGGATGCAAGTGAGCCAGCAACGATGGCGCTCGTGAGAGACTCAAGCGGGAGACTTGTGGCTGATGAGCTTTGAAACTGGCTGCGTCGAAAATCTCGAGTCGGTGATGGCGGAACACTGCCCGTGAAATGCCTTTTTACAGGCATCACCGGAGGAGATTCTCGTACAGGCGACTGAACAGATGATGCAGACACGAAAGTATCGTCCGAGGATACTGACAGTGCCGATGTCGGCCGCGCTTCCGTGGGAGTAGGAGGAGTTGTCCTTGGACGAGATAATCGAGGTTCTAGTGGAGGGGCGGAGCGTTTTCGTGTGATAGTTGGGGACTTTTCATGTAAGACACTCTTAGACTCGACCTTTGGTTTGCTTGTCCCTCTAGGCTGTGGCGGTGTTGGAGGTCGTTGTTTTGGCTGTTCCCTGGGTTTGGGGCTGCGTTTCTGAGGATCTGGCGATGGCGTCGACATATGGTTGGTTGCATGACGAGTAATAATCTGAGGTGGTGTTTTTGGTCTCAAAAATGACTTTGGGCTCAAGACTGGGTTCGGGCTCAGAGCAGGATTGGGGCTCAGAACTGGCTTTGGAGGAAGCGCTGGCTTGGGCGACAATACCCCCGGAGCTGGTTTGATGGGTGTCCGAGGCTCCGGTGTCAACGGTTTAGGTTTTGGCTTGGGCTTAGGTTTCGGTTTGAGTTCCAGTGAAGGTCTCTCCTCTTGTTGCGTTATCCCCTCTTCCGAGATGCTATCGACCGGTTCTTTGGGCGCTTTGGCTGGGGTTTGTTTGGGAGAGCTTCGCTTCACAGGGTCACCCGCGCGGCTTTGCTCAAACATTGAGATGAGTGATCCAGTGGGCGGAATAGGCCCTGAATCAACAATATCACCACTGCTCGACGAACCTTCAACACTCGTCCTCCTCCGTGGTGTTCGCGCCTTGGGGCTAGGACTAGCACTTCGACTCGCTGCCAGCGTGGCAGCTATGAAGCTTGCGCTCTTGGGATCTGTGCCTCCCCTGGCTGCACTCGGATGAAGCTGGCCCGGGCTATGACCCAGCTGTCTCAGCCTCGCCGCTATTGACCCCCCATTTTGTCCATATTGTTCGTTGTCGATTGTGCTTCCGCCTGTGCTCTGCGCGCCGAGCTTCTTGGTAGGACTTCGAGGACGTCCGGCTGATGTCGCAGCGGTCAAGGCGCCATTGTCCTTCTGGGGAGGTGGAGGAGCGGGTTTGTTCTTGTTGAAGGCGAGTGTTGCGCCCCTGAGGGCAGTGGCAGCATCGGAAGAGCCCGTCGTATGGGCGGCGACGGGAGTCATCACCGTCAAGGCGACATTGACATTGGAAGTTTAAGGAATACGATATGAGGTCATCCAAGGGTTTCGTTCGATAGGGGTCGTAATCAGAGGTCGAATATGTAAGATATACTGAAGATATGAGGTTGTTGATTGATGAGGAAAAGGTGAGATTATAGATCGGATAAGATGTTGTGTAGATCACGGAGTTGAAAGTTTTGGGTCGGGGTCTGAGACTGAGGCTGCAGGGTTCTCGTCAACGTCTCACGTCTCGCTCGCGGCTGCAACGGAACCTCAGTAGAGTTCATTAAGAGCAGCCGCGAATTCCAGGGACCTGTTCCACTTGTAGCACAGAGGTCTCGGGCCACTCAATGGCGCTAGAGCCTCTATTGGTTTAGCCGACAGAAACGGTCGACAGGGCAGCGCTGGCATGACAAACCCCTGGCTATTTTTGGCAGCACAAGACCATGATCACGGGGTTACCAAGGAGACGGGATATCTGCATGTCATTGAGTCGCTGAGATTCGTAATCGTAAGTGTACGATAATTACCTATCTTAGCTGATTCAATCTGCGGAGCAATAAGTCTGTCAATTCTAACCAATTCTGACCAATTCCCCTATTTCTATCCAACTTCCTGATCTGGCTTCTTCTATCTGCTATCGAAGAATAGTTCACAGGAGTCAACTCCTAGTTCCGCGTCTGCCCCTTCTTAGAACAAACCTATTGGTCCAGTTTCCTAACCTCACATACAGCAATATCTGTTACTTAGAGTCTCTGGGGGAGGAAAGAGAACTTAGGGACCTTTATCCTAAGTGATAAAAAAGACCATTTAAAGGCAAAGGCCTTCTAATTTATACTAAATTTACCCAAATCTTTTTATCACTTAGGATAGAGGTCCTAAGTTTTCTCTCCCTGGGTCTTTATCTACCACCAGCATCTCCTCCGGGAGATCTTCATCCAGAGATCTTCATCCTAAGATCTAGACCACCCATCTACAACCCTCTTCGCAAAACATGCTTTTATCTGATCCGAATAAGGCATGTCTATCAGACGAAGTTACAAGCTTAATGCACATAAAAGTTCCGAAGTGAAACTAGTCGCAGCCATTAATATGAGCTAGTCCTACACAGGACGATACAAGCACTTAAAACGCCTTCTATTGCTATCCACCAATCCTGAAAAATGCCCTCCCTTTTTCGTATGCTTATTTGTACTTGACGTTTCCATCGCCCATCTCATGAATCTGAGCAGTATTCGAATCAGGAGCTTCAACGAGCACTGGAGCTCCTGGGATGGGAGGTGAAGGAGTGTATTGCCAGCCCTGAGGAGGTGGTGATCCATTGTGCCATTCCTGGTAAGGATGCATGTGTTGTTGTTGAGGGGCCATTCCATATGGCATTTGTGGCTGGGTGTGTGCTTGGTCTGACATTAATGGCTGAGCTGCTGCTTTCTTCTTGTTGTCTCGCCGACGGATGAAGAAGATGATGAGGCCTACGGCAACGAGAACGGCGACGCCTCCAACGACACCGCCAGCAATGGCGCCGACGGGTGTACTGCTTCCACCGTCGTCTTTGTTTTCTCCACCATCGTCGTTTTGGGGTGCGCCCGTGACTGTTGTGGTTGATGCTGCGGACGATGACTTGGATGAGGCTTCGGTGGTGGATTCTTCTGTGCTTGATGCTTCGGTGGTGGCGAGAGCTGGGAAGACGTCTACGCCCAGTGTTGATTGTTCGAAGTCGCTTACGCCATCTGGGAAGTTCATGCTGCTGAAGCCCGATTGTGTATGGCAAGGGTACTTCTCTATGTTGTTGGGGAAGTAGATGGTGTAACATTCCGTCTTTGTATCGGCGGTACTGCTCAATTGTATCAGTGAATGCTTCCCATTTGTGTAACTGGAGCTTGACTCACCATTTCTGAATGTTTGTGTTCCGTCTACAGTCCACATCGCACTTATCCGGGTTCAAGGCATCGGCACTGTTCATACAAGCCGTCTTGAAGTCCCTCTCACCACAAAACGCAACATTGTACTTGTCATTCTCGTACATACACTTCACACCGCCAGTACATGTGAAGAAGAATGATGTGTTTGGTGTGTAGAAACCACAAGTATTGTCCGGAGCGACAGTGATGCTGAGAGTCTCAGTAGTTGCATCTGCGCGTGCATACACATGACGGATAGCACGAAGTCTCGCCGGTGAAGTAGGTTCCGGCGCTGAGGGCGGTAGATCAAACTCAAGAGCACTCGTCTTGTCAAGAGAGAAAGATACAAGAGCTGCCACAGCCAGCCATCTCATTGAAGAACCCATGTCTAAAGCCGATATATGGAGAATTGAACTGGAGCCAAGACTGGAGGGTGTAAGAGAGAAAGAGAGTGAGGTGGTGAGAGAATAAAAGAAATTGGATGACAACCCTTATGAACGAAACATTGCTTTCCGAATCGACTAGGAATCAGCCCTGCCACCATATCTAGCACATAAAAGAGCCAATCGTTCAAAGTCAACCCATCTCTCGAAACACAGCCAGCCTTGGCCGACGCCCTTAGCTCATTACAAGTGTGAACGGCTGAGGAGCTAAGAAATTAACCATAAGCGCTTATTGGCGCCATCAAACCGAATTGGGTATGCAGCCTGTCTATACCTAAAATAAACTAGCCAAAAGCCAAGTCTCGATCTCTGAACAGGGCTGTGTAGCTTGAGCCTTGGTCAAACAAGACCTCTCATGTCTTGAGTTTTGTGGGTTGGTTACTCCTTCAAACATAACAATCCTCTTAGCTGGAGTTATAGATGAACTCGAAAGACAACTGTTTCTCAGAGATCAGTTCATGGACCTAGTGTTGAGGAGGATGTGCTTCAGTTGCAAGGATGATATTTCTGGCCCCCAAATATCGTCACCGAGATAAATGACAAGCAAGGAAATCCTTCTGCCTCAATCAATCATCACAGCGCTTGCGGTGGCAATTAATCTGACATCGTTTCTGCAGC